CACTTTCAGGTCTCCTCACACTGCTGGTGGGTTCCATTTTGTCATAGGGTGCTGTATGGCCTCCCATTGCTGCTGCCTCCACCGCCACCCTGCGCGCCATGTTCCTGACGTCTGCTCATGCTGCTGACGGCTTCCGCTTTTTAACCGAGGCCTGTGTTTGGCTTCCGAATACTGCTGCATCCACCGCCACCCTGCGCCATGTGCCTCTGTCGTCTGCTCACGCTGCTGACGGCTTCCGCTTTTTAACCTAGTCCTGTGTATGCCTTCCGAATACTGCTGCCTCCACCGCCACCCTGCGCCATGTGCCACTTTCAGGTCTCCTTACACTGTTGGTGGGTTCCATTTTGTGATAGGGTGCTGTATGGCCTTCCATTGCTGCTGCCTCCACCGCCCCCTGCCCCATGTGCCTCTGTCGTCTGCTCACGCTGCTGACGGCTTCCGCTTTTTAACCGAGGCCTGTGTTTGGCTTCCGAATACTGCTGCATCCACCGCCACCCTGCGCCATGTGTCTCTGTCGTCTGCTCACGCTGCTGACAGCTTCCGCTTTTTTAACCTAGGCCTGTGTATGGCTTCCGAATACTGCTGCCCTCCACCGCCACCCTGCGCCATGTGCCTCTGTCGTCTGCTCACGCTGCTGACGGCTTCCGCTTTTTAACCGAGGCCTGTGTTTGGCTTCCGAATACTGCTGCATCCACCGCCACCCTGCGCCATGTGTCTCTGTCATCTGCTCACGCTGCTGCGGCTTCCGCTTTTTAACCTAGGCCTGTGTATGGCTTCCGAATACTGCTGCCTCCACCGCCACCCTGCGCCATGTGCCACTTTCAGGTCTCCTTACACTGTTGGTGGGTTCCATTTTGTGATAGGGTGCTGTATGGCCTTCCATTGCTGCTGCCTCCACCGCCACCCTGCGCCATGTGCCTCTGTCGTCTGCTCACGCTGCTGACGGCTTCCGCTTTTTAACCGAGGCCTGTGTTTGGCTTCCGAATACTGCTGCATCCACCGCCTCCCTGCGCCATGTGTCTCTGTCGTCTGCTCACGCTGCTGACGGCTTCCGCTTTTTAACCTAGGCCTGTGTATGGCTTCCGAATACTGCTGCCTCCACCGCCACCCTGCGCCATGTGTCTCTGTCGTCTGCTCACGCTGCTGACGGCTTCCGCTTTTTAACCTAGGCCTGTGTATGGCTTCCGAATACTGCTGCCTCCACCGCCACCCTGCGCCATGTGTCTCTGTCGTCTGCTCACGCTGCTGACGGCTTCCGCTTTTTAACCTAGGCCTGTGTATGGCTTCCGAATACTGCTGCCTCCACCACCACCCTGCACCATGTGCCTCTGTCGTCTGCTCACGCTGCTGATGGCTTCCGCTTTTTAAACTAGTCCTGTGTATGTCTTCCGAATACTGCTGCCTCCACCGCCACCCTGCGCCATGTGCCACTTTCAGGTCTCCTTACACTGTTGGTGGGTTCCATTTTGTGATAGGGTGCTGTATGGCCTTCCATTGCTGCTGCCTCCACCGCCACCCTGCGCCATGTGCCTCTGTCGTCTGCTCACGCTGCTGACGGCTTCCGCTTTTTAACCGAGGCCTGTGTTTGGCTTCCGAATACTGCTGCATCCACCGCCCGCCCACTGCTGCTGCCAGGCCCGTAATCTCTGTCATGGGCCCCTGTACCGCCTCCTCATGCTGCTGCCAGGTCCAGAGTGTGTCATGGGTCCCTGTACGGCCTCCCATTGCTGCTGTCTCCATCGCCACACTCTGCCATGTGCCACTTTCAGGTCTCCTCACACTGCTGGTGGGTTCCATTTTGTCATAGGGTGCTGTATGGCCTCCCATTGCTGCTGCCTCCACCGCCACACTGTGGCTCCACACTCTGGTTTTGGCCCCGTGACTGCCCAAATGAGTGAAGTGTGCGGTGATTCTAAGATCGACGGCACTAATCTGCATGTCATACTGACTGACAGTATTAGTTCTCTTCCCCAGCAGACTCCAAGGGCATTTAAATTAAAGGTACAGTGTTCTGCACTAATATAAAGGCTCTCTGAAGCCTAGAAACACCCTTTTTATAAGTTAAATTCGCAGTGAATATATTCGCCTCGAATCGAATTTATTCCGCGAATTCGGCGAATCAGCCGAATCGAATTTTTGAATAATTCGCTCATCTCTAACTAAGAACACGTCTGAAGAATACATGGCTAACCTAAATACAAGTTTGAATTATATGGAAACCTAGGATCATATAGCTAGAAAATACCCCATTGCCTTCTATGGTTCCCTATGTGCCAAAATCACCCAGGAATGAGGACGCCAAGTGCTTTTAAATGATTTTATTTGTCTGATATGTTCACCGTGTTTTTGCTTAACCTCCTCACGATCTATGTGATCAAATAAAGTATTCTTTGTAACTATTGAACCTACATTACTCCGTGTGGATTTCTAAGTAACCTCTTTTTTCTAGGTGGTGTTGCTCTTGTCACACTACCACATTGTTTACTATGCATTTCCCGGTTTATAAATCCACACTTTTATGATAAGTGAGTCGGAGATAGTACTAGGACACAAACTATTTGTGCCTTTACAGGTGGCTTTTTTCTGTTCTATTTTTTCGACATACCCCGAAAGCTTGTCCTCAAAATTGTATGTTAGTGCAAATAAAAAAGTATCACAGACAGTACTCAATTGTTTCTGTCAGCTTCAAGCAACAAAACTCTCAGGTGTGACCTTACTGATTAACCAAAACCTGTAGAACCTGGTAAGTGACAAACATAGTTTTCACTCTACAGTTGATCCATTTGCTATAACTGTTTTTAAATATGAAATGCAATATAAGAGCTTCATCACTGACAAGTAACACGCAAAACTGGAAAAGTCTCACATGCAGGGGAGGACTGACAACTCATGGGGCCCCCGGGCAATAGGGGATCATGGGGCCCCTGTGTCCTTGCCCAAACTCAAAAAAGCCTATGAAAAAGGTACCAGGGGCATCTCATGGGGCCCCCTACTGACCTCGGGCCCTCGGGCAGTGCCCGAGTTTCCAAATGGTCAGTCCGCCCCTGCTCACATGTTCACATATCTTTGATTCCAAGCAAAAAGGTTTAAAGATTGGAATCCCTTATATCTGGCTATAATCCATGGAGATTTAGAGGGAGAAAAATGGAGAGAGGGTGGTTCCCTATATAACCAAAGATGCATTTGACCACCATAACTGGGGTCTGGTGAGTGAACCATCCACACTTCACGTATATGAGCATGCGGTGAAGACCACAGTCACTCTTGATTTTTTGATTTTTTTGGAATTTTTGCCTTCCTAATATTTTATTTTGGGACAGTCACAAGAGTTGTCACTGTATCTATGTTTTATAATACCTACCTCACATGGTATACTATTGGTCGAATTGGTATATGGAGGGGTAATAATATCTCTTTGTACTAAGCACGTTGAGGCATGGACCAAAAAATAAAATTTGTATAGGGCCACAATAGTCGGCCCAAGCTTTGTGGTCATACACTATATAGAGTGATTAGTTTTCTGGGATATATTTTGTTCATATTCATCCCTTTTCTACTGTACTTTTAATTTTGGTATGTACATATAGCGCCTACCTATTCTATTTTATTCTAAGGGTAGATAAGAAGCTTGTTTGTGGCAAAAGTGTGATATTACAAGATAAGACATTGTTTGCCAGTTAAAAGTGGATGGGTGTGACTAATGGAACCTTTCTGTCAGGGCTCCAGGGTATGACCAGAGGTATGTGACTGACGCAGGGAAACACAGGCTTCAGATATGTTATAAATATAATTTATTAACACTAACAATACATAAACGCAGTGCAATACTAAAACATACACAGTGCAAATGAACCAAACCACCCACAGATAACAGTACATACAATGCAAGCGTCGTCAGGCAGGCGGGATTATCAACAGGAGGTCAGAACGTATGGGGTTAAGCAGGAGAATGGTCAGACAAAGCCAGGGATCAGGAGCAGGAGAATGGTCAGACAAAGCCAGGGATCAGGAGCAGGAGAATGGTCAGACAAAGCCAGGGATCAGGAGCAGGAGAATGGTCAGACAAAGCCAGGGATCAGGAGCAGGAGAATGGTCAGACAAAGCCAGGGATCAGGAGCAGGAGAATGGTCAGACAAAGCCAGGGATCCAGATCAGGCAGGGTCAGCAACAAGACAGGAACAGGAACAGGATGCAGGATGCAGGATGCAGGAACAAGATACAGGGCCCAGGAAAAACACACACCAAGGCAGAGTCTGCAGGTCTGGCCATCCCTTAAATACACCAGTATAAGCAGTTTCAGGTGTTTAGCTGGCTGCAAGGTTGAGTCTCTGATTGCTGGGAGCACCCGCTGGCCAACCCTGGTACTACAACCCATAAGGCAGGTGAGTCCCACCATTGCTGGCCAGTCCATTCCTGACAGTACCCCCCCCTCAAGGAGCGGCCTCAGGACCCTCAAACAGTCCTAGCTGGGCAAAATGTTCCACCGCGCCGGGTAAGGTAACTGGCGGGATATCAAAGACTGGCACTCCGGGCAGCGGCTCACCGGGCAGGGCTCCGGGCAGCGGCCCATCGGGCCGCGGCACACCGAGCAGAGGCACATCGGGCAGAACTCCGGGCAGAGGCAAATCGGGCAGCGGCACACCGGGCAGCGGCACATCGGGCAGGACTCCGGGCAGCGGCACATCGGGCAGGACTCCGGGCAGCGGCACATCGGGCAGGGACTCCGGGCAGAGGCACATCGGGTGGACTCCGGGCAGAGGCACATCGGGCTGGACTCGGGCAGAGGCACATCGGGCAGGACTCCGGGCAGAGGCACATCGGGCAGGACTACGGGCAGAGGCACATCGGGCAGGACTCCGGGCAGAGGCACATCGGGCTGGACTCCGCGCAGAGGCACATCGGGCTGGACTCTGGGCAGAGGCACATCGGGCTGGACTCTGGGCAGAGGCACATCGGATCACCAGGCGAAGCAGCAGGCAGCGGGCCACCAGGCGGAGCGGCAGGCCCCGGGCCCCCAGGCAGAGCGGCAGGCCCCAGGCCCCCAGGCGGAGCGACAGGTCTCGGGCCCCCAGGCGGAGCAGCAGGGGCACCGAGTCACCAGGCACGACAGTGGGCTCCGAGTCAACTGGCTTGACGCGCTGGCACTGGGTCAGACATTGGATCGTCTGGCTGGACAGCGGGCATCGGGTCACCAGGCATCAGGTCATTTGGCTCGACAGCGGGCACCGCGTCATCTGGCAAGGCAGTGGGCTCCGAGTCAACCGGCATGACCACGGGCACTGGGTCAGACATTGGATCGTCTGGCTGGACAGCGGGCATCGGGTCACCAGGCATCAGGTCATTTGGCTCGACAGCGGGCACCGTGTCATCTGGCAAGGCAGTGGGCTCCGAGTCAACTGGCATGACCGCGGGCACTGGGTCAGACATTGGATCGTCTGGCTGGACAGCGGGCATCGGGTCACCAGGCATCAGGTCATTTGGCTCGACAGCGGGCACCGCGTCATCTGGCAAGGCAGTGGGCTCCGAGGCAACTGGCATGACCGCGGGCACTGGGTCAGACATTGGATCGTCTGGCTGGACAGCGGGCATCGGGTCACCAGGCATCAGGTCATTTGGCTCGACAGCGGGCACTGCGTCATCTGGCAAGGCAGTGGGCACCAAGTCACCAGGCACGACAGTGGGCTCTGAGTCAATTGGCATGACAGCGGGCACCGGGTCATCAGGTACCGGATTTTCTGGCTCGACAGCGGGCATCGGGTCACCAGGTATGACAGCGGGCACTGGGTCACCAGGCATCAGGTCATTTGGCTCGCCAGCGGGCACCGCGTCATCTGGCAAGGCAGTGGGCACCGGGTCACCAGGCATTGGATCGTCTGGCTCGACAGCGGGCATCGGGGTCACCAGGTATGACAGCGGGCACTGGGTCACCAGGCATCAGGTCATTTGGCTCGCCAGCAGGCACCGCGTGATCTGGCAAGGCAGTGGGCACGAGTCACCAGGTACGACAGCGGGCTCTGAGTCAATTGGCACGACAGCAGGCACCGGATCAGGTACCGGATCATCTGGATCAACAGCGGGCATCGAGTCAACTGGCCTAATAGGATCATCAGGCTGGATCAGTTCATCAGGCTGAGTGGAGGCATCAGGCTGAGTAGAGGCATCAGGCTGAGTAGAGGCATCAGGCTGAGTAGAGGCATCAGGCTGAAGAGAGGCATCAGGCTGAAGAGAGGCATCAGGCTGGGTACAGGCATCAGGCTGGGTACAGGCATCAGGCTGGGTACAGACCTCAGGCTGAAGTGCGGGTGCCGAGGCACCAGGCTGAACCACGGAAGGCAGGTTCTCAGACGGCAGGCTCACACGGTTTGGATACTGGCAGTATGGTATTGGTTGGAAAGAATTTTCGCTTTTTCTGGTTTTAACTACTGGAGCACTGCAAGTAAACGCAGGTCTGCAAACGAATGGAGCAGCTGGAGACAGAGAAGAGCTGGAGGATGGAACAGAGGAGGGAGCAGTTGCTACAGAGGGTTTTTTTACAGGGTTAAAGGCAGGATAGGTGCAGCGAGTGGGAACAGGGTACTGACATGCGGTAGATAGCAGGGCAGGAGGAGCTGTTGGGAATGCAAGAATAGAGCTTTGAGGAAATAGATTAGAAGCAGGACTGGGTTTTTGTAAGCTGACTGAGGCTGGGTGTAACAAATCTGTCCATGTCTGCAGAATGGGTTGAACAAAGCTCAGCTTACACAAAGCCTGTCTGACCAAAGACTGCACTGCGTTTATACAATCTCTTAGTGTCTGTGGTGAACATGCAGCATAATGCTCCAAGAAGCAATCCACATCATCCTCTAATAACCATACCAGGGACTCTACCTGGTCGGCACTAAATGGCGGCAAAAAATTCATCCCTGCATTCGGGGGTACCAGATGAAACCAACTCCGCACAAACCTGAATCAATGGCTGCACCTCAGAGAATTCTGTGCCCTGATCTACTAGAACATGAGCAAGCCGTATACATTCTAGCAGTTCATCCCGGGGATACTCCTTCAGAGTTTGATAAGCATACTCTCTGTCATCAAACACTAGCAGATATATAAATACACAACCTTATCAAGATCCATCTTTCCCATCAACAAACCAAGATGGCTTCCCTGTGCAGCCACTTCTGGTCAGGATTGGCCTTGGTGTAATGTCAGGGCTCCAGGGTATGACCAGAGGTATGTGACTGACGCAGGGAAACGCAGGTGTCAGGAATGGACTGGCCAGCAATAGTGGGACTCAGCTGCCTTATGAGCTGCAGTACCAGGGGCTGGCCAGCGGGTGCTCCCAGCAATCAGAGACTCAACCTTGCAGCCAGTCAAACACCTGGAACTAATTATACTGGTGTATTTAAGGGACATTCAGACCTGCAGACTCTGCCTTGGTGTTGTGTTTCTCCTGGGCCCTGTATTCCTGTTCCTGCTCCCTGTTCCTGTCTGATTCTCTGCTGACCCTGCTCTGATCCCTGCCTTGTCTGACCATTCTCCTCTGCCTGACCCTCTGTACCACGCTGCCCGCTACCTGCTGAACCTGGCTTGTGACTCCGACCATTCTCCGCTTGCTCCCCCTGTACCTACCTGCCCAATTGATATTGACCCGGCCTGCCTAACGACGCTTGCATTGTATGTACTGTTATCTGTGGGTGGTTGGTTTGGTTTGTTTGCACTGTGTTATGTTTTAGTATTGCACTGCGTTTATGTTTGTATTGTTAGTGTTAATAAATTACATTGTTTATAACATATCTGAAGCCTGCGTTTCCCTGCGTCAGTCACACACCTCTGGTCACACCTGGGAGCCCTGACAGCAGGCTTCAGATATGTTATAAATATAATTTATTAACACTAACAATACATAAACGCAGTGCAATACTAAAACATACACAGTGCAAACGAACCAAACCACCCACAGATAACAATACATACAATGCAAGCGTCATCAGGCAGGCCGGGATTATCAGCAGGAGGTCAGAACGTATGGGGTTAAGCAGGAGAATGGTCAGATAAAGCCAGGGATCAGGAGCAGGAGAATGGTCAGACAAAGCCAGGGATCAGGAGCAGGAGAATGGTCAGACAAAGCCAGGGATCAGGAGCAGGAGAATGGTCAGGACAAAGCCAGGGATCAGGAGCAGGAGAATGGTCAGACAAAGCCAGGGATCAGGAGCAGGAGAATGGTCAGACAAAGCCAGGGATCCAGATCAGGCAGGGTCAGCAACAAGACAGGAACAGGAACAGGATGCAGGATGCAGGAACAATATACAGGGCCCAGGAAAAACACACACCAAGGCAGAGTCTGCAGGTCTGGCCATCCCTTAAATACACCAGTATAAGCAGTTTCAGGTGTTTAGCTGGCTGCAAGGTTGAGTCTCTGATTGCTGGGAGCACCCGCTGGCCAGCCCTGGTACTACAACCCATAAGGCAGGTGAGTCCCACCATTGCTGGCCAGTCCATTCCTGACACTTTCTGCTAACTCCTCCTGGAGTGGGCATGGCGCCCGCCCATTTCGGGAAAGTTGCCAGAGGAATTGAGGGTGTATAATGAGAGGCCTGAACGCGGTCAAATTGGAAGCCTTCCTATGCGAAAGGGGGCACTCTGATGCTTTGCCAAAGCTATATGGGCTCAACAAATTGGTTGTGTTTAAGGCTTCTCCGTGACCCCCTGTTACTGTTACTTCTGTTACTTTGGTGTGCTTCCAGAAAGTGCACTAAAATTGTGAGAGACAATAGAAGTCAATGGGAATGTGCAGCTAACCTGCACCAAACCCACAGGAACACTAATCCTAAGGTGTCTCTTAATGGGTCTCCCAAAATGAACATGCAACATATACGTTTAAAATGTTTGTTACCATAAAGAACATCAGTCATCTCTCACATAGAAATGCCTGTAGACAGATGAAACTAATATTGAGGTCTGGCTAACTGGTAGGATGTGGTCTTAGGGATGAATTCACTATCTCACCCAAAGTTCTACAAAGGCTCCAGGACCCAGCTAGAACTTATTAAGGTCTGAGAAAACAAAAAGACACAAATTTTGGAGCTCCTCATTACATGTAGGTGAGAAACCTAGGTGACATATACACACTTCCACAATCTTACAAATACTTCTAAAAACATGCCGGGCTTCCGGTTCCGGCGCTGATGCTGTGAGGAGGTGAGACCCGCGGCTCCCGGAATCCCCGCATACAAAGCCGGCATTCTGCACAGGGGACATCTGTCAGCGGCTTCAGGAGCTCCCCACTGGCCCCCCCGCACGATCCTCAGTCCCTCCGGCATGGAGCGATTCCTCCTGCCGACCCGCAGGGCTCAGGTCCCACCACGAGGGGAGAGGGATGCGGCTCTCCCCCTCCTGCAGCCAAGATGGCCGCCGCCCATGCTAATTCAATGGACACAGGCACAGAGGCTGTAATAAAACGCTGGTGCAGATGTACACACCCTCCCTGCACACACTGATATAATTATACCAGCCCTGACCTCTACTCCTGGCACCTGTAGTTCCACAGAAATCTATGACAAAATTGCACAAGCCGTCGCTGGGGGGTTTTTTCCCCGGGGAAACCCCTCCCCCCCGGGGGGGGGGCCCCCGGGGCCCCCTTGGGGGCCCCCGGGGGGGCCCCCCGGGGTTATGCCCCCCAAAACCCCCCCCCCCCGGGGGGAAAAACCCCCCCCCCCAACCCCCTTTAAAAACCGGGGGGGGGGTCCCAAACCCCAAAAACCCCCCCCCCAAAAAAAAAAAGGGGGGCCCCCCCCCCCCTTTTTTTTTTTAAAAAATTTTTTAAAAAATTTTAAAGGGGTTTTTTCCCCTTTTTAAAAAACCCCCCCCGGGGTGGCCAAAAAAAAAAAAACCCCCCCGGGGGGGTTTTTTTTTAAAAAAAAAAAAAAATTTTTTGGGGGGGGTTTTTTCCCCCGGGGTTCCCCCCCCTTTTAAAACCCCCCTTGGGGGGTTTTTTTTTTCCCAAATTTGGGGGGAAAAAAATTGGGCCCCCGGGGAAAAAAAACCCCCTTTTTTTTTTAAAATTTTTTTCCCCCCCTTTTTTTTCCCCCCCCCCTTTGGGCTGGGGGGGGGGGGCCCCCGGGGCCCCCCCCCCCAAAACCCCCCCCCCTTTTTGGTTCCCCAAAAAAAAAATTTTTTTTCCCCCTTTTTTAAAGATTCCCTTTTTTCCCCCCCCCCCCCCCAAAAAAAGGGGGGTTCCCCAAATTTTTTTTTTCCCCCTTTTTAAAAAAAAAAACCTTTAAAATTTGGTTGGGTCCCCCGGGGAAAAAAATTTTTTTTTTTAAAATTCCCCTTTTTAAAACCCCCGGGGGTGTTGGGTTTTTCCCCCCCCCCGGGGGGGGTTTTCCTTTTTTTTAAATGTTCCCCCCCCAAAACCCCAAGGGGGGGGTTTGGAACCCCCCCCCCGGGAACCCCCCCCAAAAAAACCCCCCCCCCTTTTTTTTAAATTTTTTTTTTCCCCCCCCTTTTTAACGGACCCCCTTTTCTTTTTTTTTTTTTCCCCCCCCCCTTTCCCCTTTGGGGGAAAAAAAAAAAGGGTGGGGGGCCCCTTTTTCCCCTCCCAAAAAAAGGGGTTTTTTAAAAGGGGGGGGGGGGGGGGGCCCCCCCCCCGGGCCCCGGGGGGGGGGGGGGGAAGGGGCCCTTTTTTTCCCCCCTTTTTTGGGGGGGCCCCCCCAACCCCCC